CTATTGCAATAAAACGGCAATTTCATACTTTAACCCCTAATACTAACTTTTCACATTTAACATTTATTTCTTTATTTAAACGTTGCGTGATAATTAAAATAATTACAATAGTCTAATTCGATAAATTAAGTTGCATCACTCACCCGATTTTGGGGATTTTATGCTGATCCTGTATGTATGTTATTTAAATTATAATTACTGTTTCTTCTTTCGATAGGAGATATTCGTTTACAATTTGCTGCTAATTGGCACCGATCGGAACCTTTTTGAAACTTTATAAATATTTTAAGATATGTTTATCGGTCCCGCCAACAGAACAAAATCACCGAGCGCCGACCAAGCACTCCTGCAGCGGTCAAACTCATGATGTCGTAACTGCTTCACGAACACAAAAACGCCTGACAAAAATACTATTGCAAACGATCTGTTTCTAGTTTACTTTGTTGATTTTTAGTCGCTAATAAGAGATTAAGCGTTTAGTAAGTAGGTTTTATTTGAAAATAGATCATAATTTAAATAGTTAGATTTATTATTAATCCTGTCAATCAGCGCAACGACAACGTTACAGAACATTTAAACCAAGCGTTAGATGAAAGATGAAGTGTTATATTGACTGATTGTTATCAAAAATAAAATTATACAATGTAAGTTCATTTTAAGCGTTCGTTATATGAAGTGAATTTTTATATTAAATAAGTTTAAACGAAATAAAATTATACGATAACACACTCGTTTATAATTCCAGTTGTTCGATGCACCGAGAAAAGGCGCATTCACTCTAAAATAATAAAATTAAAATCTATATATATCTAAAATAATAAAAAAAGTATTATGATTATGAATAAAATAAGAATTATAAAAAAAAAATTATAAAAAATAAACGTTATTTTTACGAAAATCGTTAGAGACACCGTGTGTCTTTAGAACGCGAGACGGGTTAAAGCGCCAACTTATTTGTAATTACATGATTTCCGCATTATTTACACAATCTACTATTATCCTTTTCAACATTGTGACATTCAATAAACTTACTATTCCTGTATATAGGGGACCGAACAAAATCACCATCATGAACTTATTATACGTCCAACTTTTGGGCACACCACGCTGTCCCTGTGTGGGTTGGGGATTTCGAACAAGGATGTGAGTCATATTTGAAGTTAACGAGACGTACATCCCCAAATGTGCAACGGAATGCATGAAGTTATTCCGCTATAACCTTTCTATCATCAGGGGCCTAGACGTAGGCTGGGGTTCCTCCCATATGTTATAGATATACCCAAGATTCGCAAGAAGCTTGTTTATGTTTTGTCCTTCCACCCCCCGATATTCATTTTTGGGGGGCCTTGAACACCATGTGTATGTATGTATTTTTTTAACACCCTTGCTCGTAAAGCTGATGTAATTCCACCGGTTTTAAATATGTAAAGCGGGTCATAAAAAACGCGTGTGTTACCAAAGCAAATAGTTAAGTTATAGTCCATACAAATTCCATAACAGTATTATTTGCCATTTCAAATATGGAACTGATCGCCGCCGCACGACTCCAGCTAGTGAGCAGCGCGCTGTTGCTATTCAAATTTCGAACAAATCGCCGCGCGGCGCCAGTCAGTACGCAGCACTAGCGCGCTGTTAAAATGGCGGGAAAGCAACAGTGTGCATTCACAGATTGAGTTTATTTGGTAAAAAAAAACCAGTTTATTTGGTAATTATAAACTTGGCTGCATGCTCTAGCGTCTTTGCCAACATTTTCACGCAGCCACGGTAGAAAATAATCCTCGCGCCATTTTTCTCAAATTTTCTTTTCTTTGTACTTGTATTGTGAATATCTAAAAATGACAACTTTCAATAATTAAGATGAGCAATATATTACTTCAACTCCACCGGATATACTAACAGAAGCGCGAACCGCATGCGACAGCTTGCTGCCGTCAATATCCAAGGATAGATACATAACCACGTATGAAAATTTCTTGAAGTGAAAAAACAAGAAAAATGCCAAGTCATTTTCCGAAAATGTAGTTTTGGCGTATTTTAATGAACTAGCTAGTAAATATAAGCCTAGCTCGTCGTGGACAACATATTCTATGCTGAAAAGTACCCTCAAGATGAAAAATGGTGTCGATATTAATTTATATACAAATCTAATTGCATTTTTAAAGAGACGCTCTGATGGTTTTATAAAGAAAAAATCTAAGGTACTGTCAGTAAATGACGTCGAAAAGTTTCTAAAAGATGCTCCAGATAGCCAGTACCTGGCAACAAAGGTCAGTTTGCCTCCTTATTTTATGTATTGGTCTACCTACTGTGCAATTGTACATACTCTTTTACATATTTTTTTAACGACTGTCTGTAAGCTAAGTACCTATACCTCATCTAACACATTTTTATTTCTTTTCAGGTTGCGTTAATATTTGGTATTCATGGTGCATGTAGACGGCAAGAGCTTCACAATATTACCACAAAAGACATTGAAAATCAAGGCAAAATGCTTTTAGTTTAAATCCCAAACACTAAAAACAAAATACCACGATCTTTTATTATCGACGGCCCATTTTATGACGTGGTCAAAAAATATGAAGCTCTGCGTACGACTAAGACAAAAGTAATCATTTCTTTCAGAATTACCAAAAAGGTAAATGTACTGCGCAACCTATTGGCATAAATAAATTCGGTACCATGCCAAAGGAAGTCGCCAAGTTTTTAGGATTGCCGGATGCTGATTGTTATACAGGGCACAGTTTCAGAAGAACGTCAGCTACGTTACTTGCTGATTCGGGAGCTGATATATTGACTTTAAAGCGGCATGGCGGCTGGCGTTCTAACGCAGTAGCAGAATCTTATGTAGAAGATTCCATCCAAAACAAAGCAAATATAAGTGCCAAAATAACTCAGGCAATAAATTTGGAGCCACAAACGAAGAAGTTTTGCTGAGCCGCGCCCCTCTACTTCTACTGATGATACTTTTTTATTTACAACTAATGACGAATTACAATGCTCTTCTGCCGCCTTTCAAGAAGTTTCGTCGTCTCCAACATTTACCCTAACACAAAACAATGACATTATGAATAGTAATAATAATAATAACATAATTAAAAAACCAACTACAACTACGTATCATTTTAATAATTGTAATTTCACTAACTGTTTCAATAATTAAAAATGAACAAAATATAAAATGTTTTTTTTCTGTTTCCTCGCAAATGTGTTAAAAAACGTCGTACGATATACGTGCGTATTGGTTATAACATGCTCGGCTCAATTAAAACTCCGCCTCGCATGTTATAACCATCTTTACGCACTAATATCGTAATGTACTATTATGATACGATTATCGTTATTGTTTATTTTAAAATTAATAACGAATTCATGTATTTGTTTCACACCTATCGATTATGTAATATGTTATCACATATTTATCAATTATATATGTATTGTAAATATTTTCTATTTGTATTATCAACAATATTAAATTTAATAAAAGGCACTAAAAATAAAATAAAATAAAATAAAATAAAATGAAACATTGTCAAATTGTAAAAAGGTGTATATTTTTTATGAATTAATAAAGGTAGATAAAAATCAAGAAAATAATAAGTTAATTTGTCATTGAAAAATAGTTAAAATATTTGAAAACAGTTTAAAATAAAACGTTCCACACTAAGGAGGCTTCGCTCTTGCCTTGTTGGCCTGTGCTACTGTCCTCATGGTCGCTACACAGAAGTCGGTAATTTAGGTCCTGAACGCCTCCCTGCCTCCATGTCGAAGTCGAGAGTTTCTCGTCGCACTCGAATTCGAACTTCATCTACTTGGTGCCGAATACAGAGCATTCGTTCAGGACATGTTCGAACGTCTGTGCGGTATCTGGTGAGCACATGCAACTAGGGTCATCGCAGCATCTGAACCGATGGACGCGCCTGAGTCAGCCAGTATACGCCAACTTTCCCGATAACTCCATTGTCAACCTCGTCGTCACTTTACATCAGGTGAGATAGATTAAATGCGCACTTATTTTTGCCAAATAAAAATGTATCTACGTGATTAACAAATCATAAGGTTAGTACCTATATACAGGTCGACTTCTCTATTTGGAAGAAACCACGACTTTCCCACTGACCTACCACAGCTAGTGATCAAAAATATATCTATTGCAGGTGTGGTATGCAGCAACCGCCCAAATCTTCTTTTCTTTATCTCTATGTAGTGGCACTATTTCGATGTTTGCTTCATTTAATAGCTTCAGGCTAGACGTTTACAGGTAGGTCAAGTGTTTATCTTCTTATTTAAATCAAACGTGATTAAATACATAGTTTGAGTGGTGGCCTCGGGCCGACGCGCGTGGTGGCACGTATTCGGGTTTGTATAGCATAGACCGCCTTTGAAGTTACCGACCAGCGGCAAATCCGAACAGGTCGCCACGCTGCGCCCCGGGCGCGCTCGGGCGACCTTCATCCCACGGCACATTCCCACGGTCGTGCGAAGCCGCCTTTATAAATATAACCATAGAGTTATTTTTATCAATATTATATTTATATACGCTCTATTCTTTTATTTCTAGAGACGCTATGGTCGTGACCAGTCTTGACTCATTTACAAGTTTGATTTCTGGTGTCACTATGTTTGGGATACTGGGCAATCTGGCACATGAATTGGGCCATGACACCATAGACAGAGTCGTTGGTTCGGGTGGAGTCGGACTGACGTTTATTTCTTACCCTGACGCCATAGCAAAGTTTCCTTTTGCACCGCAGGTAGTTATTAGAATCGTTATCTAGATATTTATTTATTTTTTGTTCAAAGCTAGTTCAACTCCCTAATATACACATCTATGTGTCAAAGGATCAACCACTTTTTTTGCCTTTTACTGAAAATCAGGTTTTTAATATTTTTTTAACACCAGTGGTTTTTTTGGTCAATTTCATAAAATGAAACATAAATAAGTACTAAATAAATAATTTAATATTATAGTAAATTTTCTATATAAAATTTAGAAAATTTATTAAATTGTAGATATGGGGAAATCAATAATATTTTGAAAAACTATCTTGATCCTAGTTTGATGTGTGTTTTGTTTAAACACTCAATGAAATATAATCGTAAAAACATTTTTGGAGAATTAAAATACATATAATGTTCTAAAATCGAACTTAGTCCAAAAATATCTCTAATTTTATGTATATCATAGAATCGCATAGATATCGCGTACATAAGTTATTAAAAATGAGCTAGAAGCTTATCCATTGCGTATCCACCGACTTATTTGAGAGTGGTGTAGTGTTGCTAGTAACCATCATAAATAACCGATAGTTTCAGTAACATTTTTCAACATGGTAGAATTTAATTAGCCGTGGTAGTCCTGTGGTTCCTACCGCCTCTCAGGATCATGCCCAACTACCATATAAGCTCTAATAACAAGCTGTACAATAACCAGCTAGAAGTTCTTAATTACGGCATAAGCTGCATTTAATAAGTTCTACAGTAGACGTATAAGCGGCTACAACGCCGCTGTACCCTCAATGAAATTTGAAACATGCAAAATAAAAGTGCGAATACCAGTTTATTGTAAATATATACATATATTTTAGCTAAACTTTTTACGCGCCTTCTACATGTGCAGTTTTTTGTGTAAAAAGTACATTTAATTTGAAGTTTGAATTTAGTTTAAATAAGATATTTTAGCATTGTTGGAAGTTTCTTTAAGGTCATGGGTGAGAAAGAGTGAAGTGGATTCGTTTTTTATACATATTTAAAATATAAAAAAATACATAAATAACCTAAAAAATTGGTTTTATTATAAACTGTTATGGTGTCTCTGTTACAACAGCCTTCAGAGTTTACTAACACCGCTCTACCGATTTTACCACTAGTATTGACCGTTGTAGACATTTCGGTTTTACAATAGTGGTATTGACGCGCTATTGTAAGTTTTTAGAAGTAAAGTTGCTGTAGAATTCTGAAATGTAACGGCCGAAGCGCTACTTTAGAAATATATTTATCTGCTGTAAGTATAGCGTTCCAAAGGCTGTAATCAAATCTATTGAACAGTTACAGGCGTTAGAACATACTATATAACACCTACAACGTTTTAAACGAAGCTAATATCTCCATTCAAACACTTCTAACTTCAAATGTCCTTTACAAGACCTCAAGGTGTTATAAGAGCTTTAGAAATATACGATATACCACCTAAAGCGTTTTAAAGAAAGCTAATAATTCCATTCAAACACTTCTAACTTCAAGAGCCCTTTATAAGACCTCAAGGTGTTATAAAAGCTTTAAAAAGATACGATTTACCACCTAAAGCATTTTAAGGGAAGCTAATAACTACGTTCAAACACTTCCAACTTCAAAAGTCCTGTACAAGACCTCAAGGTGTTATAAAAGCTTTAGAAATATGCGATATACCACCTAAAGTATTTTAAGGGAAGCTAATAACTCCATTCAAACACTTCTAACTTCAAAAGCCCTCTACAAGACCTCGCGGTGTTATAAAAGCTATTTATATCTCTGCTTTACATCAATTGCCCATACAATAGCTCTATGACTAGCACTTTTATCTCTTTAGGATTACATTTACCGTTGTACGGCTATTGTACAACTTGCGCCTGTTTAGTTACTTTTGAATACGCTACTGAAGAACTTAAGTACTATAGTACATCCCTTAAGAGGAAGCAGAGGAAAATTCCTAACTTGGTACTTGGTGCAACGGGCTGATATCCGCAACTCGACGACAAAATTCGAAAATTCCTAATCTTCGATTTGATTTTAGAGGGGTATATCCACTTTAAAGTTAAAAATAAAATATTGTATGAGTAACTACACGATATATTCAAGCATAGACATTAATAAGAAACATAAAACAATAAAGTTTCCTCTATAGATAAAAATCACGAAATGACCTCTAATTATCAATTTTTTTCGATTTATACTCGAAATGCTACAGGTTATTAGGACAAAAATTAGATAATTAATAATATTTATGCATGACCGACAACTGTCACTACGGATTTTTTTTATTAGAGTTATTCCGCTAAAACGAATTTGGTACTTTCAATGCGCAAAATTCAACATCTCCTGTCGCATGTCACGCGAACTTCAAGCATATATTTGTTTCACAAATTTGGGCGGAGCCAACGTCAAAACTTTTTTTGCATGAGAGCTCTTAAACAGCTAATATACAAGTTTTAGGTTGTACAGAGGTAATATAAGCAACTTGTGTGCTTGTTGAGTGGGTTCGAATCCGGGCATGCACCTCAGAGTTTTTCAGTAAAGGAACACATCGTGAGGAAACCTGCACACATCTGCAATTTAATTATGCTGTGTAGTTCTCAATCGGCATTGGGCCCGCGTGGGAACTACAGCTTCAGGCTCTGTCATTGTGACAGAATGCTTGTGCCAGAAGTGGGACTATATAAAGGCTGACTGTTATTATAATATTGGAATTTAATTCCTTATATTATTATATAGCCATTGTTAACGCAAAAGAACTCCGGCGCCGCTGGGCCGCCCGCGCGCCCCTCACTCGATTCATTCCGCCATCGTAGCTAAGCGTGCTCACACGTATTACCTTTTACTGTAGTCAAATTGGAATACACGCCCCAAAAGGTTTTTCATGTCATTTTATTTTATTAAGTAGCTGAATAATAATAGTAAAGTATTAAACAGTCATATTGAAAGTACGATGGCTGATGTAAAACGTATGTATCTTTTTTTCCAAGTTCGTAGCATTTAGGTCTTACTAAAGATATAAGCACCATGTATACCTACCACCTAAAAGAAAATATTTCTCATGAGACAGACTCACCAAACTACTTACTACGTTTCAGGCCTTTGCTGTACTCTTCTTCGTAATGACGGCAGTACTCGGTGTTGGAACCGGTGTGTTAATGTTCTCTTCTATAATCGTTGTCGTCAAAGAATGTTTTCCTAGGGTCGGAACTTTTTATCTTACGACAATTGGCTGTGTGTTTGGCTTTTGTACCGGGCTTCCATATGTAACACCAGTGAGTTATTTACTTATGTATTGTCCGTTTCTAGGCCAGGAATAAAATACGTTAGCGTCCGCCTTATGAAATTTATGTCAATAGTCTATCCCAGGATTAAGATTTACAGACATCGCGTACAGGTGTACATATGGTACCACAGATATGACAAGTTATACCTGCGCTCGCCAGTGTCATTTAGCGAAAGCAACTTTCGTGAATGAGCTCGTCTACCACTTGTGTTGTTGACCACTTGTGTACCGACAGAGTAAACAAATATCAGATGTATTTGAATCAGTATGCTCAGAAATCAGTTGTGAGGCCGAATGTAAGGGGAGGTTGGAGGCCATTCGTAGCTCGTGTTACCCGATTCTATTGTATACAATATGAAAGCAGTTAATTGCGTATCATTACGCCACTGGGAGTTTACCATAATAAATCATTTTAAAGATGCATGAGCACTTTATGTGCAGGTATGCATATGGGTTGTGTTTTATTGGTTATATCGTCATTTTATCAGTTATCTATGAATTGGCGATTTTCCGTGTCGTGCTCTGCAGCCACACCACTCTAGTTTTTTATTATGATTATTACCCACTATATTGTATGGTTGACTTACATGTTGTACGTGTATTTTTTGTGAATGTACGGACAACGGCACACCAGAATACACATTTTTGTTCGAAAATCGCCTCCAGTGCAACGGAACAAGATATGTCAATGTGTAGCTTGATGTGCTGGCGTGTGTACTATTAGTTTGGACTATTAGTTTAAAAAAAAAGAACAGTTACGGTGTTGCTACGAAGAATTGTCTGTGGCCACGCCACATAGATGCAATTGTAAATTTAAAAAAAAAATTTAACTAGCTAAATTATACAAACGCTAATTTGTACAAACACTGTATTGTGTACATATAAACAAATGCGAAATACACTCTTTTGCAAAAAAAACGGGCACCTAAGGAAATTTACGTTCTAAAGTCGATATGAGTTAATTAAATGAAATTTATTTCTTTGACTTAGTCTGTACTTATAATCGTGTAAATTAATGCGCGTGAAGTGAATTCGGGCAATTAAAAGAAAAAAAAACGATGGATTCTTTAAAACCGATGTACACGCCCAAACAATAAGAAGTGGTCGGCAATAAAGACAACATTTTTTTTTACTTTTTTTAATTAAATAAAGTTACAAATATAGAAACCTAATAACGAGTGTCACCTCCTCTTGCCAAAATCACAGCTTGAATCCTTCTAGGCATGCTTTCCACGATGTTTTTAATAACGTTTTGAGGAATACGTTCCCACTCTTCTGCAATGACTCTTTTTAGCTCCCTGATGTTTTGTGGAGCAGGTTGCACTGATCTTACCCGTCTCTTTAGAACATCCCAGACATGCTCAATTGTATTGAGGTCAGGACTTCGAGCTGGCCAATCTAAACGACAGATCCTAACTTCTTGCATGTACGCTTCCACGTCGTCAGAACGGTGCGGGCGAGCATTGTCGTCCATAAAAATGGAATCTTCCCCAAGTGCAGTCAATGTGGGTTGTGCATATGGAATTAGGACTTCCATTATGTACCGGTGTGCATTTAATGTTCCATTTTCTATGAAAACTAACTCCGTACGCTCCGTCGAATTAATTGCTGCCCAAAACATAACGGAGCCTCCGCCATAAGGAGTGATTTCTTCGAAACACACTTCCGCATAGCGTTCCCGTGGTCTTCGCAGCACTCGCCGGCGTCGGTCCTCTCCACACAAAGAGATTCTAGCTTCATCAGAAAACAATACTTTATTCCAGTCCTCCAAAGTCCATGAAGCACAGTTCCGAACAAACTGAAGTCGAGCAACACGGTGCTCACGGAGTAATTTAGGGCCCCGAGCTGGGCGGTAACTCCTGATATTGGCAGCCAAAAGCCTCCTCCTGACCGTCCACAAGCTAACTTCTACTCCTCTTACTTCTTCAATGCTCTTCTTCAGGTCCACACTTGACGCCTTACGATTCCGCAACGCCTGACTCACCAATATCTTGGTTCTGTGCATCGTTTTCTTCCCGAACCGGGTCTTCTTTTGACCGAACAGGTCTCTTGATACCGTTGCCAAGTCCCCTGGACAGTTGAACGACTCACATTTAGCCGCGGAGACACGTAAGTTTGCGAACAACCTTCTTCAAGTAGGGCTATAATTTTACCGGCCCTTATCACTTTATTACTCATATCAAAAAGTGGTATTTAATGTAACAAGAAAGATTAAATTGTTTAATTTGCAGAAAATATCCAAAAAGTTTTACAATATCGTAATCAGTTAAAAATCGTTTCAGCGATTCGCGCCATTAGTAAAGCAATTTTAGAATAATCCACAATAATCATTATTTTTCTTTTATTAATTTCAAATTTTAAATTTGGAACGTAAAGAATCATGCCAGGATGCTTCAAATAACATGCCAATATATCGTCAAATTAAGAAAACCTATTTCTTATTCTTCTTCATTGAAGTAGAGAAAAAATCTAAAGTGCCCGTTTTTTTTGCAAAAGAGTTTATATATAATTAAACTCCTCCATATTCACTCTTCATCGAGTACATTTTACTCATAATAATTTTGCTGATACATTATTGATAGGGGCTTAACAAACAATAGATCAATGAATGATAGGAAAACCACCGCATTTTACGACTACCTCTTTTCTTTAATACATTTATATTAAATGATTTATTTTTATTCATATAGTTTAAACTAACAGTAGTACATTCACAAAAAATGAATGTATGTACATCATGCACGTCTCAGCGTAGGTACATTACAGTGGGTAATATCATCATAAAAACATGGAGTGGCGTAGCTACAGAGGAACCCACGACTTTTCCTGTCCCCAAATACAAATTGTAAATATATCTATTACAGTTTTCTTGAACTCATCAATTAGTAATATTTTTATTTATTTTCAGGGCGGACAATATATCACTGAATTAGTTGATTACTACGGCGGAATATTTGTGCGATTATTTTCAGCCATTATTGAAACTGTGGGAGTTTTTTGGATTTATGGTAACTAAACTAGGTAGTCTTGTTAAATCCTAGCTAGCGAGGGTAAACTCAGTTTTAACATTATCTTGTTTGACTAAATAGCACGTGTAATGCAATTCCATCATAATAAAATATAAAATGTACGAAAAAATTATTTATTCAATATGACCCATTCGCCATTTACGACGACGTTATAAGCCATTTTAAATTGTTAAAATAACCGCAATTGAAATTCGTACAGTTGTGAAAATGCGTGCGATTATCCAACACTTTTCTTTGTCTACCTGCTCATTACATTTACCCTTCGGCATTCTAAATAATAATAAAAACAAGCACACACTTATAGCCTCGCACTAGCCCTCTCAAACCCTGAAACCCTGTATCGCGGGTGCCATGGATATATACATAGACAAGCACAAATTAGACCCTAACTCACGAGAGAAGTAAATGTAGGCCATACAAATATTTCTCCCGGCACGTGAATCGAACACAGCATAGCATAATAACATCGAATTCGATGTTACATTCAAATTTCGAACATCTCTAAAAAACAAAACAATTTGATTCGACCTCAGTTCTAATATCAGTCGAGATGAAGTTTTATTCGAAATTAAATGTCAATAACAAACAATTTTGACTATTTCACACATTGACTTACAATTATATGGACGTCGGGTCCGCGCTAAAAAGTGTCCGCACTTGTAAGGCGCTAAAATCGTATACAGAGCGCGACACTCCGCTTTAGTCTTCATTCTACTGACAGCGCGATACTGCGATGACATTACAATTTAAATTTCGAATAGGTTGACTTGGGACATTTTTTTTTTGTGGTTTTTGTATTAGACCCGTCGTCCATTTATTTGTAAGTCAAGGATTTCACACGTTACTTGATATCGAACGATATGATAGTTGGGGTCGATTCTAGTTTGTCTATGAATTAAAATAAAAACTACGATTGTGTGACATGCGTGAAAAAAGTTTTTATTTGCCGCCATTTCGCCAGTCGTTACATGCGGTTCCTGAACACATCACTTAGAGCTTATAATATGTACGAGCCCTGTACCCCACCTACGGTGGGGATGGGCTCGGCCTGCGGCGCGTGGTCGGTTTCAGTTTACGGGGTGTGCTCATGCTCTTCGGTGGCACAGCAATTAGTACTATGGGCGCTTGATGAGGAGGTCGATTCGCGATTTATGCCAATTTAAGAAACGAACATTAAATTAAAAAATTAAATCCGTAAAAATAGTTTCATTTCCTATGTGTAACAATCGCGAAAACCTAAGAACTCGAAACGAACATTTCTAAGTTGGTTTTGGTCTGAGTATTCTGGGTTATCGTTGATTTGGTATTCATAGTACTTACATAGTACAGGAAATTCGACAGTAGTTTGGCATTTTTTCCCCCTAAATACTTTTCTTTGGCATAGTTTTCAAGAAAATGAAATCTAACATAGAGACGGTTGAGATACAACAACGCTATAATAAGTATCTCATTTCCACTACATCGGGAAGCATGCTTTACATTTTTGCAATTGTGAGATCTTGTACTCGTAATCTATTACGACTCCGTATATTATCTCCATTTGATGCCAATTTTCAGTCTGAGCAAAACAAGAATTTTCCATAGCCATTTACATAAAAAATTACGGCTATATGGAAAAACGGCAGAAACAAAATTTTTACCCCAAAATGTGATTGAAGCCATGCCATTTTCAGTCGGAGTAGAAGACATTTTTATCTACCGCCAAAAAAGTTTGTATGGTAGCCATATTGAAAAATGGCGAAAAATAAATTTTGACCGCTAATTATTATTAAACACTCATAGAGACCCCGACATGTCCACTTTCATCGTATTAGAGCAAATTATTATCTGGCGCTAAAAAAGTTGATATGGCAGCTATATTGAAAAAAGTCGAAAAATAAATTTCGACCACAAATTATTATCAAACACCTATAGAGATCCTCACATATCGATTTTCAGTTGAATTAGAGCTAATTTTTATTTATGTTGAATGGCGGCCTTATTAAAAAATGGCGTAAAACCATTTTTGATCACAAATTATTATCAAGCATTCCTAGAGACCCACACATGCCAATTTTCAAAGGGATCAGAGCATTTTTTTTTTCTGCCACCAACGAACGCTTCTATGGCGACCATATTTGAAAATGGCGAAAAACCAATTTTGACCACAAATTATTATCTTATTTATTATTGTTCTTAATTATTACTTCTATAGGCATGCCAATTTTTAGCCGAATCAGAGCAAGTCCGTTTCGGCAGGCACTTTATACGAAAAAAACGCTTATATGACAGCCATATTAAAAAATGGCGAAAAAAAACTTTTGACCAAATTATGGTTAAGAACTACTAAAGACTCCCGCATACCAATTTTCAGCCGAATCAAAGCAAGTTTTTGTTCGACCGCCATTTTGAATTCGCCATCTTGTTTTTTTTAACCCAGGCAGTTGACCACTATTAATCTCTATGACATTCCTTCGAGCACCTCCTACCTACCTCTAATAGTTTCCGTGATGACTTTGAAATTTGTATGGCGGCCATCTTATTTATTTGAATTTCGAACATTTTTTACTTCTGGCGGAAATTGACCAGGGTGTACCTTATAAAGTGCACAAATATTCCCTCCATATATTATAATTTTTGCAGGCCGTTGAACACTCTTTCATATTTTCCACATTTAGGTCTTCTCATATTTGATTCTTTGCTTTGCAATCTATCCGCGTACAACGGTATAAATACTTTTTCCACCACATCGGGAAGTATGCGTTCTATTTCTATCAGTGAGTAAGAACTTTAACCTTTATATATATAATAATAATAACTATTTGGAACGCGATGCGCTGGCGAGGGCTTTCTTTACATCTGGTGGCAAATTGGGAGTTGAACTTAATATTTCAGAAGATAATTTTCTTTGGTTGGGTTGGTTTGGGTAAGAGAGAGAGCAGGTAGATGGTGTGATTGCGTGAATTCCTATCCTAAAATAATTCAGAAGACACCACCCGTACATCATCGATAGTTGCAGAGATTCAGCAAACTCAATTTTGTATTGCGACCATCTTGGATTCTCCATATTGTAAATTTTTGGTATAAACTATATTGTAAATATTTGGTTGGCACAACGGTATAAATATCTTTTTTCCACCATATCGGGAAGTATGCATTCTATTTCTATCAGTGAGTAATAACTTGTAGCTTTATATGTATAATGTGTTTAGATAAAGCAGTGTATGTAACTGTACATAATTAGACATTAAAAGACTCGTGAGATGTTTTTATTAAAGTCGCCTGCCGCATCGTTTTACAAACCCTCACTCGTATTTTAATGCCTTTCATTATGTAACAGTCACATAAACTACTACAATATATTAATAGTAAATATATATATATAATATATTTGTGTCATTGTTTTAAGGGTTGGAGAAAGTGTGTCTTGATGTCGAATATGTTTTGGGAAAAAAATGTGGCATCATATTGCGGATCTGTTGGGGATTGCTAATTCCTTTAATTTTGTTCACTGTTTTCATATATTCTATGATGACTGAAGAAAATTTAGAATATGGAGACGATTACATATATCCTAACACCGCTTATAGTGAGTATTTCTACATACATGATTTATGATCTTTAATATATAATTATTAATACAAAGATCGAACATTCAGAAAAAATTCCTTCGATCCGGTCGGATTCGAACCGACGTCTTCTTGCATACCGTGCCAGACGCTATACCAACTAAGCCACGGAACGAACCAACGGACCTCACGAATTTTTCTATATGCTTGCGTCGTGTCTTTGTACTTGGCCTTTCAACGACTTTTTAGTCGTAGCGCCATCTATGAGAAATCTATTGCAGATTTATCACCCGATCTTTGTTCGATCTTTTGAGTAATTTCACAAAAAATAATTGAATATCAATTCAATAAAAATTTAATTAATCTTTAATATATATTCAAGCTTATTTCAGTCTGTTTTCAACACAACATAATATATTCGATCGCTCTTCAATGTATTTAGTTTTTTTTTGGGCAAAAGTTAATCTTTAGTGTCAAATTTATATATATAAATGAAATGAAAAAAGAATATACGTTTTTTATCGCACTAGGCCCGTATGAGTTGTGACGAAAAAAGTTTTAAAACTAGTCAACGGTGCGAAGTAACTATGGGCTACCCCAACTCCTTTAACGCCCGTTCCTATATAAGAATAAGAGCAGTAGCTTCAGTATACTAGTTAACTACACATATATATATACTACTAGTTAAGTAAGGATACTAGTTAAGTACACAATACTTTATGACGCGCCTTGAGAGAGTTACTGACCGTCGCTGCCAAGTGAGTGACGCGCCTTCGCATGTTGTACGTCACGACAAATATGCAACGTTGAAAGTGTAAGGCTGATTACACATGACGCCGCAAGAATAGCGGCATCGCTGCCGCTGCGTTGCCGCCGTTGCCGCCGTTGCAGTCGCCCGTACTTTTGTGTACACACTTCCATACACGTCCCGTGGCGGCGCGGCGGCGAATCTTGATACCGCGGCGGCGACGACGAACGGTGTAACAATTCTCTATAAATGTACGACTAAGTTGATTGTTGATACACGGAGCGCACGAACGTCACGCGCGCTGTCTGACAAAGATTATTTACGCAAGAATGGACATTCCACAATTCATTAAAAATATAGATGTAGACCAATTTCTCTCACTAGTCCGTGAAAGACCGTTCCTGTGGGACAAGTCATTGGAAGGGTATAAATACAGAAACATTACCAATGTTGCATGGAAAAGTATTTGCATTATAGTATATTCTGACTTTGAACAGCTCAGTGACAAGGATAAAGACGTTTTTTCGTAAGATTTATTTATTTTCATCGTCATCATCATTCACAGCCTGATTGCACCCACTGCTGAGTATAGGCTTCCCGAAGTTTGTGCCATCCACCACGGTCCCGTGCTAGCCGCATCCATTGACGCCCCGCGACGCGTACTATGTCGTCGACAACTCGCAACAGGGCGCCCTACGCTTCTTTTGCCCATCCTCAGCCACCAATCAGTCGATGTCTTGCTCCACCAGTCATCACCTTATGTTGCTAAGTGTCCCACCAGCCCCATTTGAGTTCCATGATCCGAGTTCCAGCATACTGGACTTTTTATTTTAACGAAGAGCAATTAATAGTATCGCAATTACGGTGGTATCCATTCTGTATTGTGACGGCCAGTGATCACGCCGCTGGTGCTGTGGTGTGACGGCGCGACTACAGTGGCGCCGCGCCTACGTCTCAGGCTACGATAGAACCTAGTGTATTTACGAGGGAACATTCTAATCAAGTCGTATTATGTTAAATTACAAGTTCATAACATCGTGAGTGGGAGCGGTACTGCCCCTTAAATATTTGCAATCTATATTTTTGTGCGGCATTGCAACTATTACTGACATGCGTGTCATTTACCACCATGCGCACGACTTGTTGGTTCCGTCATAAAAAAGCACTAAGCGCGGAATAGCACATCACTTTGCTTGCTGCTTCTCGATGAAACTACATAAAAACTGGATCTGCCCCTTGTTTGAGAATTGAACCCCAAAACTGACATAACTCATTATTCTAAACGTGACTATTACTAGGGGAGATAAGAAATTAGTACTTATAAGAGATATTTTTGTAGAGATGTAGAAATCACACAACGTGGCTACCGCTCTGCCAACTGAGCTACGGATCAAGACCGCCTACCTTACTAATTTCTCTATGTGGTTGCTGGGGATCTTTGTATTGGGTTTCTAAACTTTTTTGACGGAGCGCCACCTGTGAGAACTTCTTCTTGATGAAAGTCTTCTCTTCTTCACTCAGCCAGGTACCTTCGCAGCTACCAAAAAAATTTAAAGGATGTCGCTATGCTAATTGCAATTTTTTTATTCTTATTGAATATGCAGATAATATATTTATACTACCATAATATTTTTGTGAAAGTATTCCACTAGTTTGTTATCGACTCGAACCAGCGTGTAAGTCGTCGGACTGATGCTAGTTTCAGTCCAATCGGGTCGAAGGAATTATTCTTTGTGTTTGTTCGATCTTTGTATCAATAGTAATCACGAATACGAATTCTTGAGTGATCTCACAAGGAACTTTTGGAACGATATGATTTGAAGTAAAGAGTAACTAATTTTAAAATTTTGCGAGTTAATCGACTAATTCACACGACTTTCTCGGTGCAATCAGATCTTAAGATAGGAGTTGCAGTTCTCGAGACTCAAAAATAGTGCCACCGGAATAAGCTTATTGCATCATGAAAATATCGTTCTAACTACAAACGGCGTAATGAGTAAATCTAGTTTTTTACGACTCCCTTCTTAATCGCTTCATTATTGCTGAAGATCGTGACTCCACTTCGTCCTGCCTACCATTTGCCTCCATCGGTTGCGTTTAGTCGCTTGATGTAGTGCAACGATAACAGGTAGCTCCAGTTGTTCGAATATTTGATCCGACCAAATTTTGGGACTCCTGCGTCTAGGTCTTTTTCCCTCCACCTTCCCTGTCACCATCAAATGGCTATCAGCATGTCTACGTGCAACACAGGGTTTCCCTAGTACGGGGCTATGTTGAGTGTGTGCGTTATTATTATTATATCTTGCTCATTTGAGTCATTGCTTTTTTGCCATCCCAATTCGTATTTTCGTATTTCAGGTTCACAACTAGAACCTTTTTACGACTAGAATAGAACCGACTAAATCACCACTTTTTTAGTCCAGTCAGACCTAGGCTAGGTGTTATGCTCTCGAGATTGAGGAATGGTGCCGCTGGAATAAGCTTATTCCAGAATGGACAGTAAAACACTCTTATAACTTTTGGACGACGGACCCACAAAACCTAGTTTTTTTATGACTAGAACTAGGTGGCGACTTTTTATCGGACTAGTCAAGTTTCAAAACCTCGAGCATGGTCACACGTAAAAATGTATGTTAGTAAAAATTATGGCATTTTTAAAGAAAGTAATTAAAAATAACTGTAATTGTTATTCATTGTTTTTTAAATCTTCTTACACATGTAAGAAGAGTTAAAATATTATATAGGATTTGAATTATTTTAACTTCTGTTAAATATTATTGTAGGTACCATTTTACCATTTTTTATAACATCAAGTGACGGGACGAACAAGTCGTGCTTATTTACTTATGATCAGGTTACAAAGACTCATAAATTATACAATTTATTTATATATAATTTATATTATTTACTTTTGGTAAGCTACACCCCTACAAACAAAGTGGCATAACAGCGAATACTACAACAACAAAAAAATACTAGAACAAGGCCTACAATAATAGTTTTGGTGGCACTATGGAGATAAATGAATACATTAATCAACTGACGTTTGTAAAGTGATTTAATAGGAATAAGAAAAAATAACAGCTTATAGCTGTAAAGTGGTGCTATAAGATGCCACGTTACAGGTTGTTGTTGCAGCTACAGGCTGATTTTAACGCTGAATGCTCTTTAGGAGTGCCTATTAGCGTGTGTCGGTTCATAGTCATCGGTTTATAGCAGTATTATGTTTATCTTCTAGCGCTAAACTTCGCTTATTGTGTTAAATCAGCTGTAGTAAAATTCTAAAATTATATAAAGGTTATAACAGTAATTCTTATAACACTCAGTGACACAGTGATATAACGGAGTTAGGATACCCCGTTGAATCGCTGTGTTGTGATGGTGTGACTTTCTTGCATCGACATCCCACCTTTTTATCGCCTTTCTCCGGTTCCTGGCCACTCGTATTTAAATTTAAATGTTGAATTGTTCCATTCTTTTGCCTCACATTCTGATTTTATTTCGTTCCATCGTCACTCCCTGCTCGCTCGCGACAGCGGACGGAGCTGTTTAAATTTAATCGCGTCTAATTTTGATTCTTTTACCAAGTTATAATCATTATAATATAATCTACATCATGTATCAATCTTAATTAGTGTATAACAGTCTACAGCCTTATCATGTACCTATGAATATGTATCTGTAATTCAGTAAAACTCGGCCCGTTTTAGGGGTAAGTGTCTACTTAAATAAGTCTTTATATCCATCAAGTTAGGGAGTGTTTTATATTAATGTAAGCTGTTTTAGCGTTTGAGATGCTATAAAAGAAATTGAAGACATTTCTTTAAGAGCTTTGAGCACTAGACTCAGATTAAATTATGCTTCAAAGTGGTAATATAGAGATATCGGAATAATTAACAGCTACAGACGATAACGCCTTTTCTGTTTACAAATATAATCTGAAAATGCCAGAAATATCATGAAAATACAGCTTAAATTGTTATTCAGTCTTTAAAAAATATGGGATCTAATAATCTTAGGATCCACAAAGCTAACCCGTTAAATTAACAAAATTACAAAAAATGTACCATTAGCATTTTTGTATGTAAGATTTATATTAAAACGTAAATAGATTTAGGGCGCTTCACGGAAAACTTACAACCGCAATAGTATCTCACTTATATAATTAATAATATGGTTGTTAGTAATTAAGTACTTACCATTTAATTTCTAACACGTTGCCATTACGATCACAATATTAACGCACAGAACGTGCGTATTATGACATAAATGTTTAGTTCGAGGTAGAGATATTTCTATACAATTGCGTACAAAAAGAACACAATACCAAGCAAAAAGATTTTTGTGACTGTTTAGCGTATTTATAATGCTTTAGGCGATATAAGAAAACATCATAGGTTTCGTAGAACCTTAGGCAAAAAATATGGCTGTCGTAACCCTTTATTGTCTCCTTTAGTAATAAGAGTCGTTGCTGTAACACTATTATAACACTTATTTGTTACTATTGGAGTTATTTCGACCTGCTAAAAAGCCTCTAAGTGCTAACGTAGTCGGTACCTAATTCGGACTATTAGCGTGCTCTATCTATTAGGCCGTACTACAGCTATATGTGTCTAATAAACAGTGGGTATAGAACATGTGTCTAATAAACAGTGGGTATAGAACATGTTTTATCGCCAAATTGTTAGTTGGGACGCCTGTCCATAACAGTTGCATTGCCACCGGAACACAGTAATGTAACATTACTACTTGGCGGCAGAAATAGGTAAGGTGGCGGTACTTCCCTGGTAGAACTCTTTTATAAGGCGCTCTACTACTACTAAATTCGGGGTTTTCGTGTATAAAAAACACATACTCCAGACAGTAGTGATTGTCAAATTATTGTATTGACTGAAATATGGTTGGACAATACAGACATAATTATTTTTATTAATATTACGAAATATAATATAAATAAAAATATTTGGTGCTTAGTACAAATTTTCCATTGACAACGAACATTTTGCATAGGAAACCGAAATTGCTTATAATTTTTAATCATGTATTATCTTAGCAAACACTTTCTAACTTATAAACTCTTTATCTGGTGTTAAACTCTTTACCTAGGCAATGGCATAATAATAATTGCAGGCTTTATATTTTTCAGTTGCTGGTTACATGCTTCAATATAACGCAATTCTGATAGTGTTATTAACAATGCTTGTGGTATTGTTCAGATGTAGAACAGGAAATTTTATAGAGGTAAAAATATTTAATCATATCATCACGGAGTCAATATTATGGTTCGTACAAGCAAGGTGATAAATGACTTTGACATTCGCCTATGCGAAACAGGCAGAATCATCGATGATTCGGTGCGGCGAACAAAAGTAAAGTCGAACTACGACCATCATTCTGGCACTATGTATGAAAATCGCAAATACCTATAGTCGGCTTATAGAGAATTGTCATCGGGTCAGACCTTGAATTATCGTTCCACACAAAAGCGTCAATTTGTCATTTAAATAAGTTATTTATTACAGAATAAAATTATCAACCACGTACATTGTAAAATGAATTTACTTGAATAGATCTCGGAATTATAATAGTTATGGAACCAACAGAGAAAAGACGTCTTTAAAAGACATGAGCTCAATGTAAAACATGATCTACGTCTCCGACGTCTTACTACTAGAAACACTTACCTGCGTATAACTATTATTATTATTTGAAATTTAGAACCTTGTATATTTTTCTTATCTCCAGTCTGATTTTTTCCGAAATAGAAATGTCTTTTTATTATTTAACACTCTTTTACCAAGTTCAATAATTTTGTCATAACTCTGTTCCCAGACAGTTAATTCTGCATTCCATCAATTGCCCACATACGGTCCTGCTAATAAAGTCGATTTCGACGAATGGAAAGCTTTCCACTTGGCAGCAAAAGCTGAACGACATAAACAAGGAAAGAACTGGATACATCACATAATGCTTAGTCTATTTGGTGGTTACCATAGACCAAGAAAAGAACCAGATACATCACAACCTGCTTAGTCTATTTGGTGGTTACCATAGAACAAGGTATTATTAACGTAATATCTATTATTGTTAGTATGTAAGGGCTAATAAAGCTACTTTTAGACTCTGAAATTATGATTCACGACGTTAGTATAGAGGAGAGCGGGCCTGAACGTTCCGATATTCAAATAACTTAAAGTTTTATACTGAAAATGAAGGGTTTTAATTTCAACATGGAAATATTGAACAAATGTCTGTCGCTTTTTGTAATAGTATACTCACTTCTACTAAGATCTCAATAGTCTTTTGCATACATGCAAATTTTTTACAAATTTCGGATCGGAACATTCAATCCCGCTTTGGGGCGCGTTGTTCCGCCTTTGAGGTAAATTGTTTCGCCTAGATTATGACAGGATAACAAAAATTTTCTTAAATAAAGCAACCTTTTTTTATAATTGTATGTATATAATATTTATAATACGCACAACGAACTTCAAAAAAAACACTACATTCTTATTTATCATTAATATTATTCATCGCTCATTTCTTCATCTGAGTCCCAGTTCAGACACACATAAGTTACTCAGAGTTACTCTATCATCTTGTCTAAATATTTCACATGAGCCCGTATGTAGTTTCGCATCTGTACGGTCTGTCTGTACAATTTAGTCCGGAGAAGTCGTCTGCTCGCGTCGGAGCTTTAGTCAGGACTGCCCTCGTTGTCTTTTGTCAAAAGAAAGGAAGGTCGATCGTCGTCTTTTGTCCAAAAGAAAGTCGGTCTAATTTCGAATTCCTGTCAGTCCAGTAAATTTGTCATAGTGGCCTGTCAATCTGGTCATCCATGGAGGCTGGACGTTGGTCATCCAAGGAGGCTGGACGCGACAGCATTCTTAAAAAAAAAGAGAATTGTTCATAAGATTTTTAAGTATGATTGCAGGTCAATTGGGGAAGTTGTTCCTAGGAACAACCAGCCCCAAGTTCGAGGAGGAACTTTAATTTGTTAATTATTTTTTTTTATTAGATTTATTATTTTTTTATTATATTATAACACACATTTCAACAGCATTATCAAGTTCATACAGTATTATAAAAACCATAACTGGTTTGACTCAATACTGGTGAGTTAATCTCTAACTAGATACAAAATTTCTATATACTAAAAAATTAAGCTACACTAATAATTAATCTAAAACAATAAGTGGATATTTCATTAAAAACTTAACAGGGCAAAGTAATAGAATCAATCAAAGTAATAAGATTCCTTACTAATTTCACTACAATTTAGAAAAGTTACGTATGAATCGGTCCATAATAAACAAAGACAGACCAAACAATTTAAACAAGAAAAAATTTACTTATGTGATGTTTTGATAGCACATAGCCACACTTCCGTCGTCGCCGGAGTAACTGAAATGGCTGCCGAGCCGGCAAGACGCATCCCCTGATGCTTTAACGACGCGCCAAAGAGGATCTAATCAATACGTTGAATGACGGCGAACGTGGCCTTGTTGCCCTAGCGTTTATATCGCAGTCGCTTCGGTCGACTTTGCCTGCGATCTATTGTCGTCAGACGACTCACTATTTACACCGGGTCGCTTGCCACCTTAATGAGCCCTAAGTAACGTTTTGTATGTTTCACTTCAGCCATGATCAAAAGTTTACCTAACTAAAGTATTGGTTATTTTATTACATACATAAAATATTAAAGTTATAAAATACCTAATCAAATAATCAGTAATGACATGAAGTAAAATATTAAATGCAATGTGATAAAAATTTTTAGACAATAATTAAATGAGAGATATGAAAGTTAGCAAAGGAACGTTTTGACCACGTGTCTCTCGCTATACCATTGTGACCATTTGTGGCTGATTTTTGCTATTTGGGCAAAAAATGTTATTCATTTTCATTGCGACGGAACATATATTAGTAAAGTTTTATTACATGAGGCAAAGTTTGGCAGATTTGAGAATATTCAACAAACCACAAAAAACAAACTGAAAACTTGTTGTTTTCTGCTACTAGGAACAAACAACTAGAAGCGAAATACAGGGCATTTAATAACATTGTCCTGTATTTCGTATATAACCTACATGAACTTTAAGATCCCAGTTTCTACAGGCTGTACTCTATTAGCTTTTTTGATGCTATGATAATGAATCACAAGTATTGATAGGTCTCTATAATGCACGTCGTCAAAAATACTAGTTCACAAAATATACGGGATATCGCCAGCCTTCAAATAATTCGCAATAAGACACATCATGTTTTCCTTAATTTTTTCATAGAGGCAAAAATGCTTATTGAAATACAACGCTTATGAGGTCGTCAAAAACACAAAAATTAAAACTTGACTCGTTTTCGGAAAGTTTTTGTTGTTGCAAGTTATGACTTTTTCACCAGAAGTGCGTTGTTGCAAGTTATGACTTTTTCACCAGAAGTGCGATATAATGCCCCTTACTTGAGTATTTTACGATCAAGAGGCGGCAGGATAAAAACCTCGCATTGAGATAAAAGCCATAAAAATTTTGTGGTATACCTACAGGTACGCTATTACAAAAATTCGTAAAATTACGGCCTCTGACTAAACCTTAATAAACCAAAAAATTTTGTATAGTTAAGCATTCTAAGATGTCGCGTTGTAGGCTAAAATAACAAAATGACGAAATACCTACTGACTTACTCCGTATGTTGATACCTGATTATTTTATATTGCGTACTTACAATACCTGCTATAAGTAAAACAAGTAGGTATGAAGTTTACATCCAAACATAGCGACGCCAATAAAATGCTTCAGGTGTCCAGAAAAAATTTCAAACGACGTCCTATCATAATCGGTATATACCTAACGTATATATAAATATATACTAAATCGTAAAATGTTGTAATATTTTATATTTTAAATTTATATTTTATATATTTAAAATATCTTGTAAATACTTATTGTGTAACGCTTGTAATAAACTCTTTTTATTGCATTTTATGAAACTTTTATTTCGATCAGCTAGTTCAAGGAGAGTGTGATAACAATTATCTTAGATAAAAAGAAAACAGATGTGTTACTAGCGTCCGCGTAATGAAGATTCGAATCTCAGTCAAACAATCTGCGTCGAGCACTGAGACGCACCCTTAGAGGATGGAAAAAAGTAAAGACGAACCTGACATTAGAACTTACGTCATTTTATTGCCTATTGCTTTTGCAACTATATATGTATATTATGTGAATATTATACAGGTATTCAAATTGTAAGAAAAAATGCCGTCGTGTGTATTTAGAAAATGCACTAATTACCATGTCATAGTAAATAAAACACAAGGAATCACATACCACGCGTAATTATCAAAAATTACGTTATTGCTATATTTTATTTATATTCCTGTATATTTTTATAAATAACAGTTGCCAATTGAAGACAGAGATAGTATTTTTTTTCTGTAGCGAGTGTGATAAAGACGCGTGAACTCAAATCATACATTAAGGCTCAACTCTCACTGGCGCAGAGTCGAAGGAAGCGTCGCGACGCGTCATGGTTTTCGCCTATAGCATACTTTAATAATGGGAAAATAGAGATGAATATGCTATAGGTGAAAAACATGACGCGTCGTGACGCTTCGACTCTGCGCCAGTGTGAGTTGAGCCTATAAGTGAAGGCACGAACATTGTAGGCAGTAGGTAAAGTCATCGATTTGGTAGAGGACTTGAGTCATCGACTGTGAGTGTATTGTAGTTGGAAAACTTATTTATACAGATTTGTTACGTACCTACGTGTTTATGCTATCTTACACTGAACAATAATTTTTTGCCTGTATATGAAAAAACATAATTTCAAAAAAACATTTTTTAAATAAGTACCTATATTTGTATTTACATACCAAAAACATCAATAAAACTCTTATATTTTTTAACACAATTATTTTTGTGTTCAGATTGGAGGTGAACATACTTTGTGTGGAGTAACGACACACATGTCTTTGATTGAAATTAATTTGTGAAATCTCATTTTCTGAGACGTAACTGGGATTAAAGAGATTATGCACTCTACGCATTTCAAAATATTTTCCAATATTCTTGCAATGTAACCTGAAATATAGTAGATATGAGCGCCATGCCGGCGCGCCGCGCCGTCGTCGCCGCCGCAGTTTTCCCCGCGCCGCCGCCGCCGACAAATGCAATCGGCGCGCCGTTCAGTTCGATCAAGCGCTCCGATCGTACGCACGCGCACGCTTCCGCATTGTATATGTGAAAATGGCGACGCCAGAATATGACTTTTTTAAATTTATTTTTCTTATAAAATGTAAATACCTCACACCTAAATAATACCTATTCACTTTCGAAAACGCCCAAGTTATAACGTTCAGGGAACAAGTCTACAGGCAGGGAATTCCAGTCCATAGCCGTTCGCCATATAATTGTGGAAGCGTAACGTTTCGTGCGAATCTTTGGAATATCCACAACACAGGGGTGGAACCCAAGCCCTAGTCCCCCGTTGATGGAAAGGGGAAAGCCGTATTAAATCGTGTAATTCCATCGCACACTCTCCGTGATATATCCTGTAAAATACCGATAAGCTGGCAACTTTAAGGCGGTGTTCAAGGCTCTGCAACTTCGCCTCCACTAATTCCGAGTCACCTATAAGCTTCTTGGCACGGTTGTCAACTGAATCCAAGGTGGCCAGTGGGCATGTAGCAGAGCCATCCTCAAGGTGACAGCAGTACTCCATGCACAATCGGACTCGTGCTTGGTGCAGGTGAACCAACTGTCCCGGTGTGAAGCAACGCCTCACCCTGGAAAGGATCCCAAGCTTCCTTGCTGCATGTTTGGCCATGGATTCAATGTATCTGCCGAAGTACAAATTGGACGACAGGTCCGTTCCAAGTAGCTGGAGACCGTTGGCTGTCGATATGGATATATCACAAAAAGTCGGAGTCAGCTCAAAGGGACTCCGTTTTGTAGTGAATAAATACGCCTGCGTTTTGGTAGCGTTAAATTTTACAAGATTAGCATCGCCCCAATCGGGGACTGCCTTAAGTGTCAAATCCAAACAGCTAACCACGGACTCTCGACAAGACTAGATTTCCTCTCCACTGACAGTTGCATTGGTCAAATATCTATCTACAACTGTGTTGTCATCAGCACACGCAAAGGTACCTAGAACAAACATATAATTGATATGCAGCAGAGAGTTGCAGACAGTACGGAACCCTGAGGAATCTATAGCAATATGTTCGGAAGAGTAGCCTTTTAAGACCACACGAATTGAACGTTCGCTTAAGAAATCCGAGATCCAATTGCAAAGGTCAGTGGGAAGCCCATAAGAGGGAAGCTTATTTAAAAGGCTTGAGTGCCAGACCCTGTCAAAGACTTTTAAAAAATCCAAGGACACTGCAAGTGCTTCACCTTGCTTTTCCTTATCCTCGCTCCACATGTGACAAGCATACACAAGTAGATCCCCAGCTGATCGCCCTCGTCGGAATCCGTACTGGCGATCACTGAGGAAGTCGTTGTCTGCAAGGTACGACAGGAGACGGTTGTTG